GACATAAAATATCTTTTGGCATTGACATTTTCATTTTTTTTTCTCTCTCTCCTTCTCTCTAAATTTTGATAAAACAGTCGCTACTGTGGTATAGAACGCAGTAGTAGAAGGCTAATTTAGTCAGACCGAGGAAAGAGTGTTTACACTTAAGTGGATTTTTTTATTTTTTTAAATTTATACTCGACATAAACATAATTTAAATATTTAAAAATCTGGAGCTGTATGTTTACATAATGCATAACGATTATGAATATCATACATTTAACATATTTTACCAAATTGTGCATTTTTTTTTTGCTAAGTATCCATGTTAGAATTAAATAAATATAAAATTTAAAAGAATTGTGAAATCTCTACCGCGATAAGTATGACTAACTCGAATATTTTGCAGGAGGGAGTGACATATGCCAGGTGGTAAAGAGAAAGAGGTGAAAAATAAGAAAAAAAAGAAAGAAAATGAAAAGAAAAAGAGTGAGAAAAGGGGTATAGGCTTAGAGACACGAAGTGTGTAAGTGTAAACAAAATAATACAAGCCAAAAACATTTTTATATACTAACTCGAAAAATTAATTATATTCAATATATGGCAAATTACTTTATTATTTTTTTCTCTTCATCACATATTTGTTTTCATTACTAAACAAATATTCATTGATATGATAACATTCTATCAAGATTTATTTTCAGTTTGCTATATCCTTATTTTGATTTTGCATAAAAATATATGTATTTATCTTTGAATCTTTTTATCTTGCTCTAAACTTTTTTATAATTATTGTATTTTCAAATCTGTTTCATTATAATTCATCATTATTCATTGTTCATTTATATTCTTCCATATTTCATTACTTCATTACGATTTCATGTATCAATTTTCATTGGAATTACATGATTGTAATTACTGTTAATAATATTTCATCGTTGGATCAATAATTAGCATTATCATTTTAATTATGCATCCCTCATTTGTCACTATTATTTATTTCATTAATATTCTCTCTCATTTTTCTATTTATACACCTCGTTATTCACATTACTGTCATTAACATTACATTTACCTTTTCTTTCTCAATGCAATCACATAAAAATATTATTAAATTAATTTTAATAGATAAATAGATCATCCAGATAATTCAATTTTGCAAAATTTAGCTTGAGAAAGAGATGGGAATTGTATGTCATTTTCTGATTTCACAATTTTCCGTAAAGTATTTACTGTGTTTAGATAACCTATACAGTTTTATAGTAATTCATATTCATTACTGAACAAACGTATGAAGTATTATAAAAAGGTACGTAAATTCAAAGGCGCTACCAATAATAATAATTTGTGAAATATTAATTATATGTAGAGTCGTATTGAAATATTTTACCGATATCAATGTATATTTATATGCTATTTAGATTTAATGACTATTTTATGGAATAATGAAAAATTTTTTGTAAAATGTGGAGCCATTTTTTAATTATTTGACCTATTGTACGGTGTAATGAAAGTTAATATTAATCTAATTTACAACTGACTGAACAACATACTTTGAAAAATAGTCTTTCATAGTCCACATAAAGAATTGAATTTTTGTATCAAAATCTACTATATCATCACCCAAATCATATCTCCATCACTATTCTATTTATATTTTAACTGTATTTTACCAGCAACATTTATTCCTTTCATCTTGCTATTTATTATTTTTGATATTTTACCTTCCTTCGTACACGTTGAGCTTCTCCATTTTATTATCAAATGATATATACATAAATTTTGCAAAACTACGAAATATGTAATTATTCTATTGATTTTGTCTAAATCAAAGTATAAAAAGCTTCATAAGCTTTCCAAAAAACAATCGAAATTATTTTTACAACTCTTACTTATCAATTGACTCGGAGAATAAAAGAATCAAGGAGACTTGTGGAAAATTCGATTACTTATGTACATACACGACCGTTCAAAGCCATCAAAATCTATCGTCAAAACGTCAACATAAGCAAACCGCAGGCGTTAACGGCAAAAGCAGATAAACACCAGCCAGCAATAATCGCAAATCGAGCGTCGAGCCCTTGCGTGTATGTCCCAAGGCGATACACATCGATCGATTGCCGAAGCCCCTCGAACGCACAATAGGGCATTAAGAAGAGAGAGGGGAGGGCTGCAAGTGAGGCCTGTGTTTAGTAGCAGCAGTAGCAAACGGTTCAGCCTGTCAAATGTCAGAGATGCTTTAGTTCAGCCGCGCCGTGCCACACTTCGGTTATCAAACGACTAATGAGTCAGAATATCTGCTATCTATCTTGTTCTCTCTTAAACATCTGCCTACTAACTGACGCATTCTGTGTAAATTAGTTTGCTCTACAGTGCTTCCCTATTAGAATTTATTTTCTCAAGGCTTAGGCGATGTACTTTCAAGTATTAACACGAGATTTTCACTTGCAGAGAGAAACTAAATTCACATTGTTTTTCAATCATTACAGCAAAAAACAATAGACAAGTTACTAATATAACGTGTCGTTTTTCTTCGGCTATTATGTTACTATGAAGTAAGATATCTTAGAAAACTAATATCTTCTGTAAACAGACTTTTAGCGCCAACTCGTAAATGCTGAAAAAAACGTACAACAAAATATAGCTAAGGTGAGAGAGGTAGGAGTAATAGTATCATCACTTTATGTAAACTCTAACAGCCTCTGAAATAAATCCATTTACCGACTTTTTATCCTATCAGAGATCAGTCCATCTACTTTACAACGAAGTTTACTTTTATTACTCATTCTCCTTCTTCAGCCCTCACTTTTCTAGCTTCTCATTAATTCCTCCTCTCTATCTGTCTCTCTCTCTCTTTCTCTCTCTCTCTCTCTCTCTCTCTCTCTTTCTATCTCTTTCTATCTCTTTCTATCTCTTTTACTCGATCGGCATGTAAATGACTTCAAAGTCAATCAGCTCCTCGAAGATAAGACCCAATGAAATTTTAATTACCAGTAGCCCTGTACCATCTGATCTCTTTGGAAGCCTCGTAAATTGTTCGTAAGTTGTAGTTTCACTTTTCGGTAGGGAACTGTCCTTTTCTTTTTAATTCGCGTCTTATGCTGAGTGGTATCTCTACTAAAGATATTTTGCAGGTAGATAATATTACAGCATTCAAAATTTTAATTCTCCGAAAAAAAGTTTGGAATGTTGAAAAAGTCTAAGAAAAAGTGAGCGAGCGAGAAATGTAACAAGTAGACATCGTTGTAAAAGAACACACATTTACACACAGACAAATAAAAGCCTCGAAAGACGTGCATGCATGAGAGAAAACTAAAAACGTTAAGAATAATAAAGAAAGTAGTAGTATATAAAAAGAAGAGGGAGAGAGAGAGAGAGAGCGAGAGAGAAAGAGAAGTCGCGGGATATGAAGGGGTTAAGGAGAATAGGAAGAAGAGCGAATCGCCCGCAGGGCTTCTCTCGCTCTCGAGAGTGACGCTACCGTAAGCAGTGGCAGCGTATAGCGAATCCCGGGCGATATTGCCGTGGAAGCCCTCGAAAATCTGCCACAAGTTATCACACTTGCGAGAACTCGATTTTCTCGCCCACCCAACAAGCACCGCCTCTTCGTATTATCAAGCGACGAGTGAAAAAAATAAAGACCGACGCGCGATATGTCGCTTATTAACATCTTTTTTTAGTTCTGCGATAACGATCGGTTTGGAATATAAAAGAGTGCAAGTTATTTTTTTCTCTAAAAATAGCGGAACGATTAAACAATCATATTCCGAGCTTTTGAGTACTTTTTTTCGTTCAGTTGAATAAATCGAATTTAAAACACAAATAAACGGATGAATGAGATGCATTGGACATTGAATATTGCTATTATTAAGTTTCGATGATTGTAAAACATTTTTGATAGAATACCTAAGCTGTTCAGACATTCAATCTAATTCTTTAATCTTTAACTACTAATTCCATGAAATGTCACTCGATAGATCGAATAATAAAACTTTAATATCCCTTATCCCTATCTCATAATACTATTTGCCCCCTCTTAGTAATAAACTCTCTCTCGCAGACAAATTCTCTCACCCGCACACATACACACACATACACACAGTTCCTCCGGAGTAGATCGCTAATATCAATAGTTGGATGAATAAGTGAGAATCTTAGGGGCTTTTGCCGATCACGTTTACACTCGCCGAACGGCTAAGCGCGATCGTAAACTCGATGTTCTCTCTCTTCTTCTCTCTCTCTCTCTCTCTCTCTCTCTCCCTGGCATTTCGACCCCGATATCGCGTTCAGAAAAGCCTAGACTTAAAAGCTCGTTTTTCTTCTTTTTATCAGAGAAATTTCAGCTGAGATGGTGAGTAAGTTTGAAAAATTGCATGGTTAATTAATATGTGAAGATCACTAAAAGTTGTAACTAGTGAGTGATTCAGGTTGAGGTTTTGTTAGACATATCAAGTATTAAGTATTCAAGAACGTCAAAGGAGACTGATCATTATATTACTATGTTATGTACCGAGATTAAAAATTACGTCGAAAGCATTGTATTACCAAGAAATACTATGATATCATTGAAAGCTGGAAAATGTAAAAGCAAAAGAACGTGAATTTTTTTCTTTCACATATTGAGATTCAATGTTAGATAAGCAATTGCTAAAATTTCACTACGTAAAATTTTTCACATAACTTTTTTAGCAACAATAATCGAAAATAACGATTATTATGGTTTTAAAGATTTTTCCCAATTTTTACATGTTGTAAATAACTTTTTAAAGTTTTTTTAATCCACCAATAATATGCATGTTTCACGATTCTGGCGGAATTGGATTACTTTTTAAAAAATTTTTTTTTTAATTTCGACAATACAAAACATTCATCACCATTTTAGGATAATTTTCATCTGGTTGTATTTGAAAATATCATTTGTCATTATCAATTTTTTCATTTTTTCGAAAACCTTTAAGCAACTGACAGTATAAAAATAGATACCGTATAAATAATGTTTTCCTGTTGTGTGATTGCAGCGAACGCGAAGCCACTGACGTTCGATGAGGTTTACAATCAGAGCAGCCCGACCAATTGCACCGTTTACTGTGGGGGTTTAACCAATGGCCTCACGGAAGAACTCATGCAGAAAACCTTCTCGCCCTTCGGCTCAATCCAAGAGATTCGAGTTTTCAAAGACAAGGGCTATGCTTTCATCAGGTACGCTGTCTGCGTTGCTACTTTTGGCGAAAATAATTGACCGTAGCCAATTTTTATCTCTGGCATTTTATTCTCTCTTCTTCCACTCTTTCCAACTGCCCAACAAAATCGCTTCCAAGCATACGTGACTTTTGTGCTCGAGTTTTGTTTACGCGAGTGGAAAAAAAAATTTTTTTCACGTTGCATTTATCTTGGAAAATCGAGAGATTACCTATTGCGCGGTTTTTTTTTTCATCTAATCGGGAGAACGTGTACGAATCGTCAGAACTTTATAGCATATTACAAATGCATTTTTGCAATACTATAAGCTTTAATTTTATCATTTATATTACTTTAACTTCATTTATGAGAAATCAGTTTTTCACACAAAATTCCAACTTCGCGAAAACTGAAACACATAATCTTCTCAAATTTACGAGTCCGAAGAAAAAAAGCCTATAAAACGGTCGGATGTAATCCAAAATTAGGCTGTAAAATATAACCACCACGAAAAAACGGAAAAATGTAGTGCTACAAATAAAAAAGGAGTAATTTGGAACTGAGCTAAAGCAAAAAAGAGTGTGAGAGAGAGAGAGAGAATGAAAGTTTATTACTTTCAGGGGAGTTCTCAGGATCCTAGTTCCCTTTTCTCACTCTCCAGGGTCGAATCAGAATCCAAGTAATCAAACTGTCCTTAGGCAAACTTTAAATTAAATAGTTAATTCGCAATAAATAACTGCTGGAATTTCAACCCACTTTTTTACTTGTCTGCGTTAATTTTCATCGCTCGATTTCTCTCTCTCTCTCTCTCTCTCTCTCTCTCTCTCTTTCTCTCTCTCAATTCAGCAAAAGCAGCAGCAGCGCGACTTGGACAATGTACACGCGTCCTTTCAATTGGTCGTCTAATTGCTGGCTTTGGTCTCCATTCTCTCTCTCTCTCTCTCTCGCTTTCCCTCTCTCTTCTTGTTCATTCTTCGCGAGAGACGACGGAAACGAAGGTCGCCTCCGGAATGACGAATGGATCCTTTGTCCGGCGGCGCGTCTTCGAAGAAAGACTCGGATGGCTACTTATCAGCGGAACCACCGCTTCTGCTTTTTTTTTCGTGTGCTTCTATTTCCCATCTCCTTCATTTTTTTCGAGAAATTAGACTTTGTCAGATAAGGATCTTATTATAAGCTGTTTGTTGAAACAATGTAACGCATAAGGTCATTCACCTACATTTCATTATTTTATATGTGACAAATGAAAACTTTAATTATGTAACCATGTATTGTAACTCTATAATCATGTGTTTGAGAAAAAGTTGGTAACGTCTTATAGTTTTTTTTGCGATTTGGCTAAAGTTTATCGTCTGACATATTTGTATATCGTTTTTTTGAGATTCACGATATCATTATGGATATTGATGTAGGTTAACGATTGATTGACTATGTCTTGTGCATATGCGGAGACGTCATTCTTCGAAAAACAAAGTATCACAACTCGTCAACGCACGCCTGCTAGCTTTCAAAATTCCAAACAATGAAAAAGCTTCCCTAACTAGAATATTCCTCACATCTGGCTCGTCGACGATGTCCGTCTTTGTCTTTATAAATATCCGTAGTTGAACAATTTGCACTAGCGCAGCTTGATGCTCTTGTTGCTCTCGCTCTTCGTCCCTTTGGATTTCGGACATGTCATCGCGACTCTCTTCCTCTTCTCCCAGGATTAATAGAACGTGAGCTTCTCCGGAGAATTCAAATTTCGACACCGCGGCTGCTGACCCATGTCTCAGTCGAACAGTTAATGCATTTCTTTCTCTCGGTGATCTTTGATGTTCGAGAGACCCACTGGAGTCCAGCGACTAATTCAATTGTTCGCCAAGATTAAGCCTTAATGTACTATACACTTACCCAATAATTTTGTCTTTCAATTTAATTTTCTTGCTTCTCTTTTATATCATATCTCCGGTGCTATAAGATATTTTTTATAATAACGCGTACTACGAGCATTGAAATAATATGCAAGCAAGTCAAATTTACGCGAAATCCAATCGACTTTACCTCGACACTCTTCCGCTGATCTCATTTATTTACCTGACGTCTGTAGATCCTTTCTTTAGTAATCTCTCTCTCGCGCGCGTGCTCGCTCGCCCCCCTTCTCTCACTGCGTCTCTAATTTCTGTCTTGCTCGCGCGCGAGCTTTCGTGCAATTTGCATTAGTCGACTCGAGCGCGAATCATCATCGCGTAGAGGGAGAGAGAGAGAGAGAGACTCAGAGCGAAAATTTGCATTTCGGCTAAGAGTCACAGTCGAGCGCGTTTGCGGATCAAATTTCGCCGACCGCGCACCGCCGCCAACCTCGTCGTACGTTGACCTCGTTGCTTTGTTTAGGCTTTTTGGATTTCTCTGAATTGCAAAATATTAAGTCGGTCTATTTAGAGCTATATGGGATTAAGTAATGGATTCATTTGTGGCACGTGAGCTATGATAATTTACAATATAATGATAATTTCAGTGAAGGATTAAGAATGCCATTTCGCGCCATTGCTAAAACGTATTCAAAAGTCTTCAACGGTTTGTTGATAAGAGTGTCCTTTCAAACTGCGGTGAGCATGTATGCGTGAATGACTTTTGTTAATAGAGACATGTTTTTGAACGATGATTGAAGATGATTAAAGTTTTTATGAAAAATATTTTAATATATAATGTGAACGTCAGTGATTGAACGCGAATTTCAAATCAAATGCAGGTTTATCCGATGAAATTCCCTTTTAAACGTGTAACTATCGAATAAAATATGCCGTATTTCATCTACCATCTATTTTTATCCACATTGCCTTACACTCCCTAAGAGAAATGAACTAGAGAGAGGGTCCTCGCAGTTCATTTCTTTCTCTTTATTTTTAACTCTATCTCTCTTAAATAACTCTTGCACTCCTCTTTATCTATATATTCTACTATCCTCTCTCTTTCTCCTTTAGCCCGGTGGCACGGTGAATCTTGGATAAATGCCAAACGGCACACGACCCCCGCGCTCTCATAATTGAAGGGTCCAATAAATAAACCCCAGCTTGGTGCGGTAAATAGCGATGTTCATGCATGTACTTTTTCACGATAGAGCGAGCTTCTCCCTCCTTTTTTTGGAGGCCGCGGTTTGTTTTTTCACTCGAGATAATTCCATGCCCGATGCACTTCTAACTATCTCTTTGTGCCGGCTTTCTTTTTTTCTTTCTATCTGTACGCTCTCTTGATTGAAATCTTGCGAATTGCTTCATTATGTGTTTTACCATAGGGGATGCATTTGAATTGCCACGCTTTTGTGCTTTTATTTTTTTCGGTATTCAACCTAATTTTCATGCCTCGTGCAAAAACCGACTTTATCGGGCGAGATATATAAAATTGCTAACGTTCGTAAAATGGGAGAAGGGGGTAGAAAAATCAATTATCGATAAAGTTTTCAGCGTCGGACTGAAAAGAAAAAAAGAAGCATAAAATGCTCGTCGCAGACGCGTAAAAGTGCGGCGCGATCACATAAAAATCATTCTTTATACACAATAAACCTCTCTTGCGTGGTAAACTGCCGTGGTGGGCGATTTGCTCTCCGGTCAAGCTCGAAATAAGGCTCATCGTCAAATGTCAGTCGCAGAAAAGACCATCGCGCACGAGCTACGCTCAAAACGGCATTTCGAAGAACATAAATAAGTTCATACGGAGGGCACGTTTGGCGGTTATAGCTGTGTGCCTGCGCAATTGGATATTTTTTTTTATAATCGAATAATCAAGTTACTTGCTGCTTTGCTCTATCGAATAATTAATGCTAATTGATTATACGATATTGAAGCTCAGTTCCCTCAACGAGCTAGTCTGAGTGAAGTCCTTTTTATTTCACTGAAATGGATGAGAAGTTTTCCTAAAAACGCTGGTTAACTAGGAATATCTGCTCCAGATCAAATCTATTTCTCACCAGATGCTTCGTAAAAATATTCGCTTTGTTTTTCTGAGTTTATGATCTGGCATCAGAGATAATTTTCCATTAGATATTTCTGCTGTACAATACAATAAACGAAATAAACTTTTCGCTGAAATTTAAAAATGAACAGATTTAACCGGTGTCTGCATTTCTTCTCATACACAAAGGTAGACTTACTCGGCGGAAAGTCAATTTGAGCTAAGCAGAAAATAGGACGTCCGAGGTGCTAAGATGAGAGACAGATTAATAACTGTGGGGTCGTGTTCTCTGCCTATATTTTGCAGGTTTTCTACGAAGGAGTCCGCAACGCACGCTATCGTCGCCGTCCACAACACAGACATCAACGGCCAGACGGTGAAGTGCAGCTGGGGCAAGGAAAGCGGAGATCCCAACAACGCCCAGCAAACCGGACAGGTGAATATATGAGCGTTCTCTTTTCTTATTCTTCTTTTTCCCATTGCTTTTGCGTTTTGTTTTCTTTCTCTTGCTTTTTTTTGCTTGCATTTGGTAGACGTTTCTCTACTGCAATCGTGCTCTTCTCTTCTTCTCTTTTAATTTTACTGTTATTTCAGAGTTACAATTTTGATATTAATGAACAAGTTTTATGTATAATTGAATTATCAACGGAAATCATTCCAGAGAATATTTCCATTTTAGACATTACAGGAAGTCATTGGATGGAAACTTTAATTTTTACTTCTTATGATTCAAATTTAATATGATTTATTGAGATAAGATATCGTTTTTCATAAAATGAATTTCTACGTTAGACATTATTAATTACCATGACTTCTATATTTCATTTTCTTCAATTTTCAAAATAACATGAGTTCAAAAATAAAATAACACTAAAACAATTATTTAATATAAAAGAATCGGTTATGCTCTAGTACAAATAAAATATAGGATAGTCTTATTTGATATCGTCGGTTAGCAAGGTAACCGAGTAAGAGAGAGAGAGAGAGAGCCATCAGCAACATCTTTGTACGTTGCAACCTCGAAACGCGATAGAAACTCGACGAGTGTCGAAGCTAATCTTGTGGTGAAGACTGACGGCCCACGCCCTCGCATTCTCTCTCTCTCTCTCTCTCTCTCTCTCTCTCTCTCTCTCTCTCTCTCTCTCTCTCTCTCTCTCTCTCTCTCTCTCTAATGGACTTTACGATTATCGGCATCACGACCGTTACGTACCGCGATAGGAGATAGCGCAATGAATAAAGCGTCCCGAACGAGATGGAAATGTCCGTAAGAGATCGGGAAAGGGCGAACTTTTTTGTTGCCAAATTACGGTATTTCGTTGAATTACTTTGATAATCGAATTGAACACTTTCAATCGTACATCAATTCGGACTCGTCAATTGTTCCGTACACCTCGTACGATTAACGAATAATTGAAATAACAAATCTGAAATCGTGCAATAATAATAGGTCAATGGATACATCTCTATTATATATGTAATCTAAAAGCACGTGTTAACAACCCATAGACTTTATGTGTCTGACTTACTATTGAATTTTCTACTTATTTAATAACTTGGCTTATCTTTTAGGAAACTAAAATATACTATATCGACGAAGGGAATCATCTAACCTATTTGTATATACCCAATAAAAAGCAAAATTACTCTCACTCACTCTCTTCGCTTGGCAAACTAACTGAAGAGAGAGAGAGAGAGAGAGAGAGAGAGAGAGAGAGCACACGTGCATACTTGCTGATAGCGACTCCAGCAAATCGACGACGGAACATCGAGCTAGAGAAGGGCGAAGGAAGGGGAAGAGGGTCCGCATAATAATCCGATCCGGAGCGGCTTCTCGGCGTTGTGGGAATAGGGATCAATTAGAGCGATGTCACAGCTTGAGTAACAGGCTCACGCGCGTACCCCTCCGCGAAAACGAGACGAGAGTTGAGTTCAGGTATAGTGATAGAGAAGCGACTGGAAGAGCTTTAATCGGCTGAATTATGGAGAGGAGAAGTTTATGGACATCCCCCCTCTATCTAACGTCATCGGATCCTTCCGATGTCCTTGCTTTTATTAGAGCTAGAGGAGTTTGTACATTTATTTTAGATCTAATTTTTTCGTCGATAGTTTTCTTTTTTGCTCTTTCAAGAAATGCCAAAAATCTTGTAAGAATAGATACGAAAGTGAGCACAAGTTGAATTTTATTGCTCAAAAAATTGTTGTTATTACCAACACTAAAGTATTTACATAGGAATACGATTGTTCGTTCAGCCTCTCAAGACAATTACAAAAATTAGAGTTGAAATGTTAAACTTTGGGCAAGAGCCATAGGTTCAAACAATAAGACGAATATTAAGATGCTGTACGCGAAGCCAACGAGATCATTCGCGAAATAGTCCAACGTATATATACGTCTAGCAAGAGGTTCACTCCTATTCCCAGATCGGACATATCCACTCGTCCTAACGGCGCTAATTGCTAAGAGTCCCGAATAGACTATGCGGAGAGAAGGAGAAAATCCTCATTGCGAGTTCTCTGTCTGTCTGTCTGTCTCTCTCTCTCTCTCTCTCTCTCTCTCTCTCTCTCTCTCTGTCTCTCCCTTCTTTGTCCTGCCGACGACAACCAACGACGACGAGCCCTTTACTTGGCATCCGCTGGGAGAAGAAGAGATGAGAAATCACGTAATTTCTTTTCTCTAATTTCAAGCCCATTGTCGCTATTTGCTGGTCGTCTTTAACCATGCGCCAGCACCACCATAATTTAGAATAGCTTTTTTAAGTTGAGACCCCGATTTCGTTCTTTTTAGTGTGTTTCATCGCGGTCTTCTCCTGGAATCACTCATTCTTACAATTTAATTTCAATCTAATGCTCGTAAACGCATAAGTCACTTATAAAAAGTATTAACGTTGCAATAACGTGAATCGAACATGTTTTTCAGGCACTATCGTCAGCCACGTATCCATATTACGCAGCAGCAGCAGCAGCGGCAGCGGCAGCCGCTGGAGTCGCGGGTGTTAGTGGTGTTGGTGGGGTTGGCAGTGCTGGACAGCTGGGCTACTGGTATCCACCTCAGTCGTACCCTACGACGGCTACGCAGATGCAAGCTGGTGGTTTTCTCCAAGGAATGCAAGGTTACACGTACGGCCAGTTTCCTGGTTATCAGCAAGCCCAGTATATGGGGTGAGTTCCTCGGTACTGATTGAAAATTCATCTTACGGCAAAGTTGGCTGCCCTAGCTTTTGTCCAAGCCGCGTGAATTGTTTATTACTTTTAATGATACCTGGCGAGATATATGTGTAACTCGAGCGCTCTGAAAGTTTAAAATGAACTGTAATGGCACCATTAAGATAGTGTAATTTTTTGTAAGTGCGTCCCACCGTGTTTTAGACAATAAAATTATTCCACTGGCAAAAGTTTCTCGCTGTGTGTTATGGACCGTGTTATAGTCTTCAATTTTAGATCAAAATTAATTCAGACAATTTTTTCGTTGAAATATTACTCGTGGTAAATCTTTCCACATCCAAATTGAAAAATGTTGCAATTACAATTTGTACAAGTTTTAGAATCCAATTGAAAAGTTTGAAATGTCACTCATTATTCTTACTGCAATCTGTTATAAAACTTATCACCAAAATGTTCGAAATTGTTAATTTATAATAATCCCTTGCTTCGCAAAACAAAACAATTCTTTGAACAACAGAATGGGAATGGGAGTGCACGCGGCTGGCACAGCAGCAGGTTGGGGTCAGGGTTTGCCTGGTGGGCCGCAACTGCCACCCCATCATGCAACGACAGTCACGGCGCCACCAGGCGTCCAAGCCGCTCCGCCACCACCTCCACCACCGGCACAAATGATGGCCTATCCGATGCAACAGTTCCAGGTACCAAGGATCGATTCTTCGTAAACTTTTTTTCTATCTGTGTGTCATTTGCTCCACGTGGATCGTCGCGCATGTACTGAAAGCGACTGTTCGCGTTGGTACCTAAGAAATTGATCAGTACTTATATATATATATATATATATGAAATGTTATACTATATATAAATGTCCGATAAAATAATGTAATTATCGTATAGACATATTGTATTGATCAATATTCTCGGAAGTGTATTACAGATGAAAGTTGAATTCTTGGGTTGTTGAAAAAATACACTGTTAAATTAAAAAAATATATAAAAATAGCTTTCCAAGAATTGATCTGTCATTAACTTGTTTTTCAATTCTCTGCATTGGTTTTTCATTTTTTGGTTGTGAATGCACCATGTTTTGAATACTGACTTTGTGTTCGTTTACTTTTTTCTTATTATAGCTCTAGATTTATTAGAAACTTAGATTGCATTATGCATAGATTTTTTGCATTGCAAAATCTCATTTGTTTTTTTATTTCGTTAGAAAAAAGCAAAAGATGTCCTTAATATATATTCGTTATGAATTGTAGTTTTTCACGGCATTTTAATCATGTTTTTAATCGTCACTACACATAAACGCAACTGAAGTATTTAACGAACGCGAAAGAAAGAAATAACTAGAGTGTAACCTATAACAGAGTGAATGTCTTAGCATTATTTTTGCTGACTTTTTCTGCACTAAGTATAGTCTTTCATTTGCAATTATATTTTCAATATCTTTTATTTTGTTTCATTTTAAATTTATTATTTTATGTTTATAAAAGATTGTAGCAACGTTGTACTTGACGTTAGGATCTTTACATGGAATGCTTGAAAAATCAATATTTTGTAGTGAAAGCACGTATAACATCGAGGTTGGGTGAGCTTTCGTGATACGAAGGGCAATAAAAGCACTGGCACGTAATTAATCCTTCATTAAGTATGAAAACCGCTGGCTTTACAAAAAAAAAGAAATATTATTATCTGTGATCAAGTAATATGAATATTTATAAAAGCATTTTTTAAGTTGTTAGGTTGAAAGATGTAAGATTACTTTTCTTTTCTCTTGAATTTATAACGCTTGATCATAGCTAAACAAAGTGCTGCATAATCAACGCAATAAAGTTCTTTGTTAAAAATTGCGCTATTTCCACAGAAGACGTTAACTCGTTAAAAATGTCATCTCACTTATTTTCTTTGACTCGCGGTTAATTTTGCTTTTGTTGTGTCCCAATTTCAATTCGCGAAAAATCGGCAGTAGTTTTTATAAGAAAGCTTGCTGGTAGTCATACGGAATGCTCGGCTGTTGACATAACGAAAAATATGTACAAATAGATGTAGTAGCAATCGTGAACGGGAATCGTTGCATCGAATACAAAATAAATTGGCATAAATGTATACAGATAAGATAAAGAATCTAAAAGAAGTACAAAAGAAATTGTCTCACCCCCTCTCGAGCCAATGATTAAATTTAAAAGTCACGGACACCAAAAAATGAACTTAACCAATGCGTTTCTGTGTGTTCAAATTCGTAAAGTGTGTTCTTGGTTGCGGTCCAGCTAGCGGATGAGGATTGGCTGACGCCTAGCCTCCTAGTGTGATGGTAAGCAAGCGCGAAGATAGAGCCCCTGCCCCAAGCACGCAGACAGGACCGATCGTAAAGCGCCAGACGCCTCAGCCGGCATCATCCGCAACGTTAGTTCGGACGACGCCACCAACTACTACTAGTACTATTACTACTACTATTACAACTACTACAACTACTACTGCTACTACTACTACCACCGAGACCGTTATCATGACTATGGCTACAATTACAATGACGATGACCACGGCCACGAGGACTACAACAACAACGCCAATACAAAATCGCAGACCCAATCAACGAGCGAGGAGCAACAGCGATCAGCCAAAGAGACGCGTCGCAGTGCCACTGCCCGCTTGATCATTCACGTTGCGATCGATCACGTCCGATCGATTCGACTAATAAATGCATAAAAAAACATATATAAATATATACATAGGTGTGTACTAAAACTCGGTAAGGGAAGGAGGAGGAGGAGGAAGGGAGAGACGCTACGACGGTTTCCACTGTGTGTAAATGTAAATGTGTGTTATAGTTATAGCCTGTGCGTGAATTTGTTGTATGAGTTGCGAGGTGTGTACGTGTGCGCGCGCGCGTGTGTGTGTGTGTGTACGCACACACATACGCGCGCGCGCGCAAACACACTTTTTTCGCGCTGTACATCGCACACGGCGCGCGCGAGCGCAACGAAGAACAAAAGAAACAGAAAAAATACATGTAACTAGCACAGAGAGGCGATTCGTTATTTTTGTAGATTCCGTGAGTGCTTATGCAGCTCCCGAACAAAGTGGCACCGTCAAATTGCGCCCTCTCTCGCTCGTCCCGTGACGCTGTGTTGTGTATAAAACAGAGAAAGAGAGAGAGATAAAGAGAGAAGAAAAACTTGCACGTCGTAGCGACGTAGAAAAGTGGATTTAAAAAAAATAACATGACGATAGGAAAAGCAAAGTAGATAGTTAGTTAGGTATTATTGCGTTAAAAAGATACCAACAACCAGAAAAAAAAGTAAAAAGATAATTAGCAATTGCCGATTCTCTCGCTCTCGAGGGCCGACGTAAAATTCGACGACACGACAACGAAATCGGCCGCGCGCGCTCTCATAATATGACTATATAACGGTTTATCTTTCACGCGCCGCTAAAGGGGGAATGTTTCATTAGATATAATAGCTCCACGGACAAATTTTTCGCTAGTGAGAACAAAAGTAATTGGCTCGTGCGATCGCTGTGATAAGACCAATACAACAACAAATTATTGACGACGACGATGATGATGATAAAGAAGAAAAACGTACTTTTGTAAGATTCCCATAAGCTAGTATTTTCATAAAAAAGAAAAAAAGATGTCAAACGAGCATTTATTTTCGAATATTAAGGATGCTTTTTTAACAGGCAAGAGCATTTGTTGGCTTTCGTAGTAGAACAAAAAAGTTTTCTATTCACATTTGCTATATTTTTTACAAAGGAAAAAACAAAACACATAAATATAATAAAATAAATGAAATATAAAAAAACTCGGTTGCATCGCCACCGTCGTCAACTACTTTTCCTCTCGAAAGGTGACGAAACGGACAAAGCCTATACGTCGTTCATCTCTGCGAAGAGTTACAATCATCAATAAATAAATTAAAAAAATGAAAAATGCCAACATATTTCGATATACACATATTTAAAAAAAAGCAGTAATAATAAATGACGAAGAGTTACTCCTAGTCTAGGACACACGCACACACTGCGCCAGTCGACCTTTGTAAACCGAACGAAAGTGAGTTAAAAACTTACACATAGACTTTTTTATAATGAAAGAATACAAAAGTAAATATTCATTAATGAGTAACCGAGAACGACGTCTGCATTTCGAATTTCTATTCGACATATACACATATACGTGCACTAGACGCAAACATAACTATCACGAGACTCAATTAAAAAGAAAACAACACGCAATGTATGCTGCGGACCTCGAGAGGCGAGATTATGTTAACATAAGAAAAAAAATCCGTAGATAGACACATAATTGCACACAGCACGAAAGTTAGTGATTAGTCCATGAATAAGCAACAAAAAATAACGAAGAAAAATAACGTACACACAGCAAAAAATATATATACAAAAAAAAACTGTACTTAAGAAGTGAAGAATCTCTCTCGTGGTCGCGTGTTCCGTGCTGTCACAAAGTCGGGCTTTTTTAATTTTATTCTTTTTTGTCCTCTCCGACAAAGCGGAGAAAAAAGTAAGAGAGAGGGAGAGAGAGAGAGAGAGAGAGAGAGAGAGAAAGCTTATGCATGTGGCGAGATGCGTCTCCTTTCGACGGAAATCACGAATCCTTTCATGGTTAGGCGAACCGCTTTTGTCACAGAAGCGAATTGCAAATTTTATCTGAGAGTATTTTTGGAATTCTCTTTTGCCTGGATCGAAAGCGAAAGAAGACGCGACCATTAAGTGATCAGCTAGTTAAGACGATTGTAAAGAGTTTTTCAATGATTGTGTTTTTTTATAAGTTATAATAGCAATGCACTCATGCAAAGAAATATTACGGTGTTGCGTAGAAAAAGGTTTACATCTAGATTACGAAAAATTGACTGATTCTATTACTTTTTTATTACATCACGACATTCAGTATTTTACTTGGAAACGTATTCACGCGCAAAATAATATCAAGATCACAAATAGATTCAATCATCGATTTGACTTTTAAGTAAAAATAATCATCGCAAAAATTTCTTTGTGTCGGACACTGTTATTATTTTATAACTGAGTGAACTGATAAGATTAGCAATGAAAAAAGAGTGTTTGAAAATGAATAAAAGCTATAAAATAATAACGCACTGCGAGCGCGCGCATATATCTAAATATATATATATATATACACACATGCATATATATATATATATATATATATTGTAATAAGCCTTAGAAAATGCGGTGTGAAAGCACGGGCGACGATGCAACAAAGAAACCAAATGTTATAAATATATAAATAAATCTATTCATATACATAAAATGCAAATATATATAAATATATAAATATACATACGTACAGATATGTATACACATATAAAGCGAACAAAGAACGAATGTGTAAAAGCGGAAAAACTAAACGTTGAGAGTGTAAAAGATATATATAGAAACTATATATATTATATATAAAAAAATATATAGATATGGACATATATAAATGAATATATATAATATAAATTTGCGTATGTGAAAGCACATATGGTATAGAGATAAAGTAACTTAGGAAAAAACAAAGATACAAACATGCAATTAAAAAAAATAGGAGAGGACAAAAACATTTAACCACACGAATTGCGCGAGTAAATATGCTGAGAAAAAAAATTATGTACATTGTTAGTTAGACCGAACAGACACGAAAGAAAAAAAAGAAAATTATAGCAACTACAAAAGAAATATTGCAACTAATTGGTTGGTTGAACGCGTTGAACCTCGGAGTAACGGAACAAAGCGAAAAATCGTCGGGCGTTTTTACGAATAGAAACACGTATAGTACTAAAATAAAAGAATAAGTATATAAAATACTAAAAAAAATAAAGTAAAATAACACGGGAAATCCGCTCCTTCGAGGCTCACATGCGAGATTTTTCCTTCGACGTCTCTCTTCAATCCTGTGTAAAAATAGAAGAGAGCGCAAGCGAAGAAAAGAAGAGTAGCAAAGGGAGCCTTATAGTAACTAAGGCACGTCAGACTTTGATCGAGCTCACGCGAGCGCGAGTAAAAAAACATAAGCTTTGCGTTAATTCGAGCGCGCGTAATGAGCACCTTTTTCTTTTGCGCACGGAGAGAGAGACAGAGAAATTTTAGTCGTATAAGGTGATAAAAAAACTATAAACAATCGAAGTAGATTTTTGATGTCGAAATGGAAACTGGATTTAAAAAAAATATGTATAAACAAGAGGTAAGAAATATTTAACCTTAAGGCACGCACACCTACGCATACACGAAACACTCGCTTAATGATTAATATTCGTGTTATGATAATTTTTCGATTAACAATAGGTTCGGGTAAGAAAATCAAGTGTTTTATTGACATTACTTTGCTAGCCTTGATGTTTTACTTATCATTGGTATTTCACATTTTAATTACCGATAAGTGTTTTAAAAAGCTGTTAATCATGTTTATTGTTGTATTACGTTTAGAAATCGTGAAAGATTTACACACTTTCATATAAGTAATTTAACTAAACGATGGTTAAAAATAAAATGTTTGGATTAATTTTTGTTTTTTACATTTTCTTACAAGAGAACGACGCGCTTCTCACATGCATAATAGAAAAAAAAGAAAAAGGAAGTGGAATATAATAGAATTGATGAAAGGGAACCTTAGATTCGTACAAGTTTTATTCAGGCTCGGGGCTCGGTCAGTAGGTTAATGAGACACGAAAAATTGCCACGGAATCAGAAAAGTAAAACACTAAAGATAGAGAATATTATAGCGCGAATCTATATAAGCGCATTTCTCAACGTACCGATGGGAGTCCTTAACTTTTCTCCTTAAGCATCCATTCGCGTGATGTACTTTTCTTCATTTCCTTTTGTCTCTCTGATGGAGATGCACCGAGTCAGACAACGATTTCGCGATCAAAGTGCGCACACTTCAGTTTTTCTCTTATTCAGGCGGTGAATAGATGTACGGGTGAGAATTTTACATTTTGCCGAGAGACCAATGTTTGACTGAGAAGGCAAATCTTTCATAAACATTCCTTTCTCATCGCGGAACTATTAATGATTTTTACGCCATTGTTAATTTGCGTTGTTTAAGGGGTTGATGATCTAGTTAGGCTTAACAAAATATTTTATATTTCTTGGTATTAAACCTTCATTTTTACTTTTTATATGACTCGTTGAATAATAGAAAGACAAACGAATGATTGAAAATAAATATATTAATCTTTTATCTCGAATAAATAAAAAAAATAATGTGATAAATACGAAAGAGTAAATGTACTTGAGTTATTGAACAACTTAATGATCATTTGAGTGGAGAATACAATTAACGAAAAAATTGTACATGCAAAACGTTATGTGTTGTAGTAACTGTTTTTACGACTTGTTAACTCTGTTAATGTTAATTGGCGACACGTGTGTAGGTTCAACCTAATGAGTGATATTATGTTGTAGAACATTATCAATGGGGTCGAGTACAACAATCTAATCTTATTTAAAACTTTTATAACTAAATGAAAAATACTGAAAATCTGATGATATATGTAAATCTTTTCTTTGAGTTTTCGCTACTTTCGCTACTATCCAATCATCAACATTCATTACATAAAGCGAAGGAGGACAGACAAATATTTTTCTATAAACCTCTATCCACAATAAATTCAACAAGCAATGGAATATGCGCTGCTACTATTTACAGGCAATGATAGTGAATTCTGTTAGCTCGTCTTCTGAGCTGCAAACTAAGAGATGAATATCCGCGTCAATATTGCTTTTGATTTGTACAATATTTGTGTTGAAAATTCGTCGTTAAACAAAGAGTTTTTTTCGAAATCTCACGCAATTCGATGGATTCTACTAGGTTCAAAATAATAATATATAATACAAAATAATTTCACTCTTACTATTATTTGATGATCCTGGCTGATCTCTCAATTATACTAATAAGTTTAATGCAAAATATACCATTGTTTTAGTTCGTAATTCAATGTAATTTGAGGAAACTATTTTTAAAATTTTTATTACATTTGTATCAATTCTAATTTTACTCGATCATTCACTCAACATTTTTAATAATCGTCAAAATAGAGATATAATATTTTTGATAATCTTATATCAAAGTTTTCACCAACGAAACAAAACCATACTTTTTGGCAAATCGTGCAACGAATTAAAAACATTATTATTATCAGGGTTCTTAACGTAATTTGGAGATAGTAATTTGCAAAAAAATACAATGCTGATTTATGATTCACGCTCTAGCAATAGTTTTATATAAGGAAACAACTTTCAAACGATTTTTTTTTGCTTCTCAAACATTCACGTAACAACGAAAGAACAAATGAGGTTCACTGAAGAAAATTAAAAATAAATTAATTGCCAAAAATATATTTGAACTAAAGTGTATTTCGATCGATATGAATGAACTATGAGTAAAGAAAATTTATCGATCATCTGTATGAATATCACTCATATTGAGGAATTGCGAGAAAGAGACAAAGTAGGTGACAAAACGCTCGGCTGAAGAACGACACAAGGACAATGATATAGAGTGAGAAAGATGTGAAAAGATGATCGAGAATCGGACGGTGAGAAAGCCTATAGAAGCCAGTGTCGAATTGCGTGAGAAGGAACGATTGCCAACTGCTTACTTATTACTTGCTGTGGCGAACATGCACACTTTCATATCCACACACACACACACACACACACACACACACACACACACACACACACACACGCGCGCGCGCGCGCGCGCACGCACACACATAGATCGACACACACGTAAATAGACGTATAGCGAGCACCAAAAGAGGATATGAAAATATCCTGGCCCACTGAGATCCACGTGAATCAGTCCAAAATGTAGGTATTCGACAAGGCAAAAGCAATTATCAGAGGAGTAACTCTATTTTTCGTATTTTTGACAAATCATTGAATGAGCTTTTCCTTGTTCTCAACCATTTTTGTTATTCTTTAAATGAGTAAAAGTACGAAAAATGCTTCGTCTGATATCCTTTTGCAGTAAATCTATTGTTATCCATTATAAATAAAATGAGAAACAAGGAGATAATTATAGATAAAAATGAACATTGGATTAGGAAGCCATAGTGTAGCGTATAGGCGTAAATGAATTTAGAGAATAAACAATGTAGTTAATATCATAGAAATGAATAAGTAATCGTGATATAAAAAAACAGAATCAGTAGCTAATAGTGTTATCAGATATAGTCTGCAATACCGTTGTCTCTTTTTTCCTCTTTGCACAATGCACTTTCGATGATTCTTTTCGTAAAAAATAACGGTGGAATTTATTATCTTTTATCCGACGTATTAGCTCTGAACTTTTATGATTATCATGTTTTTTTCCAAATATGACGTGCAAAATAGAAGAGGAAGATAGAGAAAGAAAGAGAGAAAGAGAGAGAGAGAGAGAGAGAAGTATATAGAGAAGCAAACGATGAAAAATTTGTATATTATAATTAACATGCATAAACGTAATCGTGTAAACAAAATGAAGAAAAAGAACATAGTATATAACACTAACTACATAAGAGAATTAACCAAGAAAAACGTGTAATATTTGAAAGCTTTTTGTGCGGATAAACGAAAATGAAGATTTTTCCAGGTACGGTTTTTGTACTCGCTATAATCCTCACAATCATTGCAAACAAAAACTTTTGTACGACCGCTCGCGCGCGCACAGATGAGTAAACATAATTCAAATGACGATGATGACGATAATGACGATGATAATGACGATGATGATGAAAAATATTAATTATTTTTACCTAACCATATTTTGTAAGCGTATACATCGATTTTTGCATTGAAGTAGTCTGAACAAAACAAAACCAATTCCCGTAGATCCGTGCGAGATGCTTCATGATATTACATCGTTCATGGTTATACATATATATATGAAAAAATATATATATACCCGAATGGACGCATGATGCTTTGTTTAGAATAATTAACCGAAGGTGAGCGTTGACAGGTGAGAAAAAACTGTCGGCTATGCTCGAGGCTCGCAATACACTGTGTTATAAATAAAAAATACGTTAGTTCTTAAACATAGAGGAATAATAAAAAAAAACGGTCGAGAAGCATGCAAGGCGTGCCTGTAGTCTATATATCGGATACATCGTC